TTCGACGTGTGCTCTTCCGATCTCCCCAAAACCCCAAAACCCCATACGTCAGATATGTCAAGTATTATGATGTTAACTTAATTCTTTGATTTATATATAAATAGAGATGAAAAATTAATTACCAAAAAAGAGAAAAGCAAAGCCAGTCACCCAAGTGTCTGTATAGGAATCGACTGCAACCAGCGATTCTGGGTACGATAAGAGCAAAGTAGTTGTTAGTGGAATGGTGATAGACATTGAAACTATCACGAGTGAGGAGCTTTATGCCCTCAGGAAGGTCCTTCCAAAAAAGGATTACAGGTACATCACCCATTACCGTCATCACCTAATAGGCTATTGAAAAACAGAAAGAGTGCTAGAAAGAGCAGAAGGAGAAGAAAGGAGGAGTTGCACTGTCTTAGGGATGAGATTCAGAGGCTCAAGGAGGAAAATTAGAGGCTAAAGCAGCAGGTGCATAAAGATAACCATGAAGAGGTCAAAAATGATAAAGCTAAAATCTCAAAGCCGAAACCACTTGTCCATCCTATTATTAAAGAGGAAATTCATGCCCAAGAAGACCCGAAAAAGCTCATCACAGCTGCTCAAGGCTAGGCTGAGTCATACTGCAACTATGCTAATCTTGTGAACGGAGTAACCTACAGCAGTGCATTAAAGCCTATTAACGATTTCTTGATGTTACCAACACTCCTCGCAGATCATCTCACAAGTCTTTCTTGGAACAAATTACCTCCAATTAGTTAAATATTTACAGGGAATCAGTAAAATTAACAGAATAATCCTCAACATCAAGGCCCAATCACTATTGGCGGAAACTACATCACTATCCCCAATAGCTAGCAACATCACTATTTAATTAAGGGAAATGAGCATTACATAAAGCCAGGGGATCACTAGTAAATGATAGTCCCATAAATCCAGATAAGAAACAGCACGGGACCATAGGCCCATAATACAATACTTAACCCTAATTCGTAGGGGAGTATACTAAATCAGTAGAGATTAAGAGAAATCCCTTCCTTTCTTAAAAAAGATGCAAGCTATCAAACTTAGTAATAATAGTAATCTAGTTAACATTGACTAATTTGCAAGGAAATAATCTGAATTATGTTTATATGGCTACTCAGCTAAGTATTATCTATCAATATAGATTTATAACAATTTTACTCAGTTTAATCATCTACAAATTTTGTTAACTACAATTTGATTAAATTTTAAGACATGGGGTTTTGGGGTTTTGGGGG